TTGAAAAATGTTCGATATGGCGGTATATGTTAGCAGTTTACAGACGAAAATCTTTGTTTCTTATATGCAATATATTTTTGAAAATTTTAGAAAATCTGTCTACTCATTTTTAAAGATTTATATACCAAAATATTCTAGAATATGTCTATTTTTTAAAAAAATACCGTGCAACAGTGTACCCTTCCGTAAAATTTATAATTATTTAAATTTTGATAGTGTCCCCTAACACAGAATATAACCAACAACAAATGCCTGTAACAGAGTTCAATGCATTTGTGAATATGCTGCAAAAGTTGTTTTTGTTAATATCTTTATTGTTTGCTACTCGATTTTGATAATTCTTACATCAATTCATATTAGAAAAATATAAACAATTTAAAAAAATACCGTGCAACATTGTACTACTTTTTATTTTTTTTTTTAAATATATATTGAAAAATGTTCGATATGGCGGTATATGTTAGCAGTTTACAGACGAAAATCTTTGTTTCTTATATGCAATATATTTTTGAAAATTTTAGAAAATCTGTCTACTCATTTTTAAAGATTTATATACCAAAATATTCTAGAATATGTCTATTTTTTAAAAAAATACCGTGCAACAGTGTACCATTCCGTAAAATTTATAATTATTTAAATTTTGATAGTGTCCCCTAACACAGCATATAACCAACAACAAATGCCTGTAACAGAGTTCAATGCATTTGTGAATATGCTGCAAAAGTTGTTTTTGTTAATATCTTTATTGTTTGCTACTCGATTTTGATAATTCTTACATCAATTCATATTAGAAAAATATAAACAATTTAAAAAATACCGTGCAACATTGTACTACTTTTTATTTTTGTTTCTAATATATATTGAAAAATGTTCGTTATGGCGGTATATGTTAGCAGTTTACAGACGAAAATCTTTCTTTTTTATATGCAATATATATTTGAATTTAATTTAAATATTGAATTTAAAATATTATTATTATATAAATTAAATTTTGTAATCATCCCCTTACCACAGAATACAACCACCTATAAATACTTTTAACAGAGTTCTTAAATAAACTTTACAGTGGTGGTGAATTTTTAGCCTTGTACAGGTTTTCACCTTAATATGTTATTAGAATGGTGTTAGTTAACATACATTTTTTTCGTAAAAAATCCACTTTTTTAAACATATATAATTAAAAAACGTTCTACTCGATTTTTGTGAAATTAGTTTTGTTTGAAAGAGTGATCAATTTAGTTTTAGGAACTTTAAGCGTGCAGGTTGTACCTCCTTCGAAATTTAAATAAAATGCACTTATATCGGAACATGTGCAAAATTTATACTTATTTTAATAATATTTTGATGTTTTAGTTGAGATATTGAAATGATTCTTATTTATCCGGTTTTGTGAAAGTTTTTTTTATACTTTTGCGTTTTACATTTTTTAAAAAGCTTGAAAATTGACGAGTTTGGAAATTTGACTTTGACATCAAATTTCTCAAAATTGGTCTACTCGATTTTTATGATTTTTTTTGCTGTTGATAGCCTGATTAATTCTCTATTAGATGTATTTCCGTGCAACATTGTACCTGTTCTAGATTTTTCTAAAAATAAATTTTTTCAAAAAAAGTCGATTTTGGTCAATTTTTATTTTCCCTATAATTTGAAAAATACGCATCGTATCTCAAATTGGTAAATGCCAATCGAAAGATCTTTCAAAACTCTATAAGAATAATGCCTTTTGTTTTAGTTTAATTCCATATACTAACGAAAATATCATCTTTTAAAAATTTTTTGAAAATACAGCCCTGCATTTTCCAGCAACGTTGCTAACTTGGCGCTGGTGTTAAAGCAATATTATGCAAATAGTTACGGTCACGTCATATGCAAAATTATTGTTAATTTAAATTTAAATTAATTAAGTCAATTTAAATTGAAAATTTGGCATTAAGAGCAATATACAAAAATTCAATTAAATTTAGTCATCTAACGAAGCTTCTTTTATCTTGTTACGTTTGTCAAAGCAGTGTTGTTCGCTAATTATTTTCATTATTTACGCCTTTTGTTACTATAGGTGTATTCTTTTGACATGAATTTTCCAAAAGAACAAGGCTCACTTAAAAATTAACAAAGTAAAAAGAAATTTCACAAAAGTAAAGTTCATTAAAAAAATACAATACACGAATAAATACAAAACACAATCGTTATAATAAAAGCAAAAAGTTATAAGATGATTTCAAGAAAAATAAAGCAGTGTTAAATACTGCTCATTTAGCATTAACTAGTGATGTTAGAAGTTTTAAGTTTATGTAAAATAATTTATTGATGATCTCGTCTTGCCTTCTGAAGAGCTGGAGATATCAAATATTAATAATTAAATATCAAATAATTTTAAATATTTGGTCAATACGCCGCTCTCTTTTAATCTTCCTTATTTAATTACATTTCTCTGTTATCATGGACAAGCCTAAGAAATTACATACTTTTATGTAAATTCAAATACAATATAAAATGCTTACCAATAACTTTTCTGTGTCATTCATTTTATATACATTTATATAAAAACATTTTTTATAAAATTATCTGCAGGTATTTTTGTACCTTTTAAATTCAGGCACGCTTAAAAAGTATAAATATAGTATTAATAGTATGAAATTAAGAATTGTATTTTGGCTGGCTGCTTAACATGCTTACATGATCGTTACCAAAAAGAACGTATTCGTTATGTGATTGTATCACATGGATCTTATATATTCATATCTACTTTAGCCTACCTGGATATTGGATATTATTTCATTCATTGTAATAAATATGACACATTCAAAATATTTCAGAATGTAAATGTTAATAGACAATACAATCAACTCAACCATGGAGGTTTTCTGGACCTCGACAAATTATCTCTAAAAACAATAAAAGATGTCAATAAGATAAGCTCAGATTCATCTCTTAATCGAACCGGGAATAGAAATATAATTTGAATAATTAAGCTCTTGACAGATCATAACAGTGAAATTTTGTGTCCGCCTTATACTCTTATCAAGAATGGTGTCTTCCTAATATTTAAACAAGCTTAATTAAAAACAATAAATTCTACATGTTGTATTATTATATTCGAACAGGCGCAATTAAGGAAAATCATTTTCAAATTGTAGAAATAGGTAAACAGTATGTTTTAAGATAAACAGTTTTTAGATAATATCTGAAATTATTTATACATAGAATACAAATAATTATCTAAAACTTGTAAATTAAATTTTAATTTAAAAGCTTTATAGAAAAATTCGATTTACGAAATTCATATTTTCCCTCATATGTGCAGAATGTACATATTTTTCGTCAACAACAAATTATATATAAAAAATTGTCATTAATAGTTAGTTTAAAGTATTAGTAGATAATATTTTAACTGCATTAAAAAATACATACATATGTATATAGACATGAAAACAACGCAGAACAGACCAGTTAGGAAAATGAAATCGTAGTTTGATAAATCACATTTGTAACAATAAAATTTGAAATTAGACAAAACAAAAAAATTAACCAAATTATGGTTCTAAAGTCCAGTATGACTTGTTTGTAGTTGTTCTATTGAAATTGATAACTGTTCTAGCCGCTGTACTAGTTGTAACATGTTTTCTTGTGCTTTTGTTGCATTTAAATCGTTGCCATTCTCAAGTGAATCTTCCTCAGCAGCAGCCAATTCAAAATGCAGTTTTGCTAAGCTCTCTTGCTGTTCACGAATTATTGTCATTTGATCCATTGTACCACCAGAACCTAGAGGCATACAAACAACATTAAAATTTATTAAATATATACATGTATACGTATGTATGTATGATAATAGAAATACAGTACCAAAAGCTTTTAGCTTTCCTGAATGAAAATCATCTAAGAGACCCAACAATGCACGCTCCATATGTTTAACATCGGGAACTTCTGACACAAAGGAATGATGTTTAATTGGTCGATCTTCAAATTTACTACTATGGTCATTGGTGCTAAGTACCGGAGGAGCATTTGTATATCCATTACTTGCTTTCCGCCGACTTAGTGTCGGTGTATTATTGTTGCTTTTTGTGTCATTATTGTTATTGTTACTGTTGTTATTGTTGTTGTTATTATTATTATTACTGTTGTCGAATGTTTCACTACTTATGTGCGTTATGCTATTTATGCTATGTTGACTACTGCTACCATCATGTATGCCAATTTCTGTTAAATTTTTAAGTGGACAGAACAATTGCATATTACATTATTTTTGTAGCAGCGGCAACGACAGTGGCAACGGCAACAGTAATAACAGCACAATAGTCAATGTGCCAATGTGCCAATGTATGAAGATAAAAATTTGTTGTAAAATGAAAATAATCCAGTGCGTGTTTGAATACGTAAACAGCAAATAAAGTACATAAAAGAAATATGTGTAAGAAATGAAAAAATTAAATTAATAAAAATAAAAATGTAATTTCTAAACATTAAAATCAATTACTAATTTAAATCAAATAACGCAAACATTATGGATAAATAAAACTGTGCAGCCATGTATGATGTCTTTAATGGATCTTCAATAACATTTTGTTCTTATGAAATTATACAAACTCTACTTGTCAAATTTAGGAACAATTCTTGCAATTGAACTTTATTTTCTAAAATATTCCTCACAATAAAATTTAAAGGTTTATTATATTTATTTTATAATTGAATTTGAATTTATATAAATGGTCATTACATTAAAATTGGGAATTTCTTTACACTTATAGCACAAGATTTTGTGAGCATACCCCTGCCTATGCTTTAAGTTAAAGCATAGGCCTTTAACCATTGATAAATGATGCCACGAATCCTATTTCCAATATTAAGTTTATTATTGCTATAACTTTCGGCTAAGTTTAAGAGGGAGCAGCACCTATTTGCTTAACTTTACTACGCCTTTATTCCGAAGCATACTGGATTGCTAGTTGAAAACAATTTTCTGCGAATTAAGTTTTGATTCTACTGATTATCAGTTCGTATACATGGAATATGGTTGTGTGTGAGTATGAAAAACTACATCTCGGAAGAAAACGATAAAGAAATTACGCATATCCCAGTAGAAAAAGTGATCTTCGAAGACATTGTCTTCAAGACGGTCTTTGATACCGCGTCCGCATGTTCAAGCAAATTTGCAAAACAATTGCTCAAAACATGAATGTAAATACTCTTTCTTTGCTTTCTCTCTCATTTTTAGTGTTCATAGCAACGTATTTGAATTTTGCCTCAGATGACGCTATGTTTTATAAATGAAGTGACGCAATAATTTTGAAGTGTAGTGAATAAATATTTGTGAAATAAATATTAAAAAAATCAAAATGAATAAAGAAACAATATCATTAAACTATGAAATATTAAAAAAAATAAATTAAATCAATACAAATTAAATATTGACTTAGTTCCTGGAAAATATATTGATATTAATATTGAAGACAATAATTCCAGTGAAAGTTGTTTTAGAAACGAAACAAAGGATGTTGAAAATAAAAAAACTGAAAACACTTGTGAAAAATTAGCTGTTATATTTAAAAAACACAGGATTAACAGGCGTTGTGGTAATGATATTTTAGAACTCTTAAGATCAGAAGGTTTAATTGTACCAAAATCCTTTTCAACGCTTTTGAAAACATATAAAACTTCAACAATAGATGATAGCGAAATGCTATAAATTATTTTATATTAGTTTTAGTTAATTTTAGATATGTTAAGTTATATTAAGTTAATTATTTAAATTAATTTTCATTATGTTTTCTAGTTTTTAAGTTTATTTTTTAATTTAATTTATTTTTAATGTTTTAATAAAATTTATAATTTACTTTTAATTTTGAATGTAATGTAAGAAATTATTATATAAAATAAATAAAAGTACAAAATACAACAATTTCTTTCTACTTATTTAAAGAGAAAATTGAATTTAAAGAGCGCAATAAAAGAGTAGAAATAAAAAAAGGGTGAAAAAATTATATGAGCACTGCACTAAGAGCGCACAACTTTCTGTCGAATGCGTCCGTTATGCAAGACATGGTCTTCGAGACGGTCTTCGAGACTTGTACGCAATAATTCATTGAAGACATTTGGCTATTTTGTATGAAAGTGTCTTCGAAGACCGTCATACATTTGGATCGATCGGTCTTCATGTATGTATCCATGTCTTGAAGACGTCTTCGATGACGGATCGATCCGTTTTCTACTGGGTATATGC